TCCAAAAATCTCGACTGGACTGCCGACGTCATTCCTTTGCCGTCATAGTGTGCTCTGCCTGGAATTCCCTACCATCTCATGTTGTATGTGCCGAAACGATTGATTCTTTCAAGGTAAAACTTGACGAGTCATTAACAGACATTGCATTTCAACATCCATAAGAACACAAAACACAACCAAATGCAGCATATGGAATTTTGTTCATCACTGTAACAGTTCAATTCGTGTTAACACCCTATGGGACAGGAAAAGCATCTGCTTGTAAGTAATATCAATAATAAAACTTTNACGTCAGAGGGAGAGAGCATACAGGAACCATTCACACGGAGCTTTTGTTTCTTGAAAACATTTCATCAGTAGAATGACTGAAAGTAACCGAAAGTATGACCAACATAATCACAGTAATACTTTTAGCTATCTTGTACATTTTTAAGCTTTGATATGAAGCATATTTTGATTCTGAGAAACTGGAATTCGTCAATTTAGTAAAGTGCACAAAACGAAAGAACAGCGGGCGTCGGGGATCGAATAGGATTGCCTGAACTGCGGACTCGATTCGCGATTGACCACTTGGACACATTCATCATCACCTCCGGTAAGAGGTGAACACAACAAGCACAACGGTGCTCATTCCGTTTTTTCCTCCGAGAGCTGTGCATCAGCAATAAATGTTGTTCCTACGGTTTTTAATTAGTTAAACGAAAGAGCTTGAACGTGCAAACTGTGATGAGGGATCTCTTTACTTACCGTCTCCGTCACTATCAGTCATTTCCAGATAATCAGGGATTTGGTTCTGGTTCTCATCTTCGAGCACATCAGCGATACCTAAAGCACAAAACAAAAAAGTCGATTAGTACTTTCGGCACATGTTGCTATCATTCATTTTAGCGATCAGTATCATTTCAATTCCTAATTGTTCTTCTTGTGTGAAACCTTGCACAAAGGTTGTACTTCGCTAGCCATTAAAATACTGATTTTGTAGATCATCTCAAACTGTTTCACATATTACCTGACGGTTTTGTACCTGATTTCTACAGCCATCGTGATACTGAGAGTGGGTAGTTCAGGGTCACTCTTATACCCTCATTATGCACTAACTGTCATTCCTCTGATTCACGAAACCTTCCAGTAGGAAGTGTATTCCTAACACTCCAACCGTTTGATCTCAGGCCCTGTTAAGTTTCTGTTTATCGAGATCAGACGCCAATTCAATGGCAACCGGAGTAAAAGAATGAGGTTCGCGAATAAGCGATCCCCTGTGGAAATGGTTAACTGAGTAAAATTGATGATTTGGTGAGCGGGTTGTGTAACGACCGCAATAAGCTCGTACACACGTTGATGAGTGCCTCCGGGCCCGTGGTGATGCTTTACTTCGTTTACCTCGGTCTGTTCGTTACACAATCGTTCGCAGAGCGCATCTGATGCGCTGATTAATTAGATGAATTTCAGGCTTTAATTTTTGGATACACTACATCTGGCATTGATTAGCATCCTCTCCGTGTCATACTGTATACATATACTCGTAGGAAAATTGCTCCTAACAACTTAAACGCACTTTAATCACTTCCGGAAGGTCCTATAGTCTTAAAATTCTCGGTAATATGATCCCAGAATTATGATTTGGCAAACTAGCAACCCACTGTGTGCAGCAAACTTCATCATACAGTTAATCTAACTGTACTTCTTGACACCGGTGTTTGGTTTCTTTTCCTGCAGAGGCTATGATTGCGCAATCTGCATCTTCAGGTAATTTGAACCACTTTTGTTTCATCGATGGGAACCAACTCACTCCTCCCATCAAACTAATTGTCTCTCCAGATAGCAACGAACATCCCACCACCACGTAGTGTCAATACTCTGATCCAATTTGTGCACCTAAACCCTTTAGATCTCTACACTGTCATCCGTAGTGTGTGAGCCTTATTTTATCACTCCACACGATCTTGCCGCACTGCGTCTCACGCCATAGACATTACAATTGTTGAACAGTGCATTCTGAACTGCCAACGGCACATTTGTGTTGAAAGCACGATGAGGTTACAAAGTGAATCCTCCTTAGCTATCGGCCGAAATTTCGTTTGCTGAGCCCGAAACCCGCTGATGAGCAGAAATTTCAGCTGCGATTTCTTCGCATTTTTACCCGGTTCAAATGTATCACAACTGTGTCACGAGCATCGGAAGGTCAAAACAAAGTGGTCGGTTTTCCACGGAAGATCTATAGACTATTCGGGAGTGTATGTGTGAATGGACTTGAGAGTTACGATCATCCATTGCCATTTGATACTGTGAAATCGGGTAAAAGTGAAAACAGACCGCCGCTGAAAATTCTAATCAGTGATGTGCTTTCGTCTTAGTGAATTACCTGGTAGGTAGATTTATGGGTGATTCTTTCTCACGAAGTGAACATCATCATTTTTGACCGACGGTTGACCAAGTTGCATCTACCCCCTTAATCCCTACATAACTCATCTGTACAGCAACACACAAGCGATACGGTTCTGTTCTCATGATTGTTATGGCCCAAACAGGATCATAAATATTCCTGAGTAGATAGTAGATACACCAACAGAACATCAGGTTTTGCCAGTTCCACCCTAGTCACTCTTGTCTGAGGTGAATCGATTCGGTCAGCATGTTGGCCAGTTCTCATTCTGATCACGTTACTCGCATGAGTGGCAGACATGCAGTTGGTTCAAGAACTGACAACAACTGACAACACGTCTGTTACGGACAAACAATGAGAGCATGTGAACCAATCAGAGAAGAATGAATTTGCAACAACCCTCAACCTTACGTAGGGATGAAAGCTGCTTCGCTTTGGTTGCCCATAAAGATGCTTCTCAAGCAACTACAAAAAATCATATCAATATCCAAATTTTAAAGCTGACATGTATTTTCAAAACGTAAGGTGTTTGTACTTTGATTCAGGAACGTATGCAATCCTAGTACGTCACCATCCTTCGCCGCAATCGAAAGAAAAACAAATTTTCGTCGGAATGAAATTTTCCAAAATATCACACATCTATGATCGATCGACAACGTACCATCTCCGTCATCATCTTCATCCAAACTATCCGGTATACCGTCATTGTCGTCATCATCGTCCAGATAGTCCGGAATTCCGTCCCCGTCAGAGTCTTTGGCCTCCAAAACATCCAATTTCTGATTATGATTGACATCCTCATCCACATCCTTGATCCCGTCATTGTCGTCATCGTCGTCTGTAAAACGTGGTATATCCCCACGGGGAGAGAAAACCACGCATACAAAAGCACACACATACAGACAAATACAAAAAGTGAATATATTTAGCAATTGGTCTGATAAACATCATATAAAGAGTTATTCAAATAACCAGATTTATCAGGGGCTCTAGTTACTAAAATACTATGTTTCAATTCTTTCCGCTCAGCGAAAAGGCTTCAAAAACTACTATGTACCAAATCGCATGCACCTTATTTGGGTTGGGTTGGGGGGATGTAGAGCAAAAAGCTACGACTAGAGTAGGGAGCCAAACTACGGTCAGTGAGAAAAGATACCTCGAATCATTCGGGCCTGAACTATAGGCTGTTACATAACTCGCGAATAGGTGCTTACCATGGGCTAGGCGTAAGATGATTTTGAGCGAGTGCACACGCATGTGTCATGAATGAAACATGCTGGAAAATATTTCTTCCTTCATTCGTGTGTGCACGCGTGCTGTGAATTTGCTCAAACGTATGCACACAAGCACACAGAGCGCTTTTTGCACATGCGCTACTCAAAGGATTGTCGAGGTGCGCTTGTCCCATGCAGTTTTATTTACAAAGGCTATCTGTCCCTTCAGAACTTAACTGTTAATCATAGGCTACACTGACTCATCTTTAAATGCCCGCCTCGGAATTCGGGCACAGCTCTGTTGTAAGAGCTTTTAGTCTTCAGTAAACAGATTATGTGTTATCTTCAAGCTCATCTTGATTAGGCTTTCGGTTTGTAATATGCTCCGATAGTAGGAGTAGTAGGAGTTGCTTATCCTGGGTTTGAGGAAAAACCTCTGAACAATCTACTAATGCTATAAGTTGAAACCTTTATCGAAATATTGGGGTTAAAGAATAGGCTAAACCAAATCGGTATCTTTGGTGTGTTTTTGCTCCGTAATTGCTCCAAGGCTTAACATAATCCCCAATATTGTTTTCCCCAAATGATTCAAGTGAGTTAATGATCATTGCTCGACAACCAACTTTACATTTAGTCAGAAAAAATCTAAAATAACAACTTAGCAGAGCTATTTGTCATCAAATTTACAATGTTGTTGCAAGAGATGGGAAATGTATTTCTAGCTGCAAATTCATCATGATAAACAAATATATGGGGGATGAGCAATTCTTGATCCTATTACTACTGTACATGTTGAACACAAAGCTACGTGACAGAAAATCGCTCCCGGTGCATTCAGTAAACCGGCATGATGGTGTGTATTCGCGTGTGAAAGTGTGAGAGAGAGAAATTGGCAACCACCAGATTCAAGATTAGGACTGTGATTGTGGAAGGAGATGTTACGCGCTAATCAATAGCTAAACAGAAACAGATTATTGTCATAGACGAGCTTGGTTGAATGAGCATAAATGTATAATATATCCGAAATCAGTGGGAAGATTGAGAGAGAGGGAGGGATAGGGTGGATGGAATGGGATGGGAGTTTTGCGACAGTGTTCCGGATGCGGTGGGTGCGGATGAAGCAAAAAAGATGGGAGAGCAATGCATAAGCAACGGCCCGGGGAATAAACGACTGGTGATCATAGAGCATTATCCTAGGGTCTGTTCAAACAACAAGCATGAGACCTTTCCTCTCCCCCGTTTGCCAACTCATTAAAATACAAATAGGAATATTTGTCTGATGATATGACATGCTAAGCAACGTGATACATGGGACTTTTGACTGCTAAACTGTACATGCAAAATTAAAATAGTAATGGTCTCATGGGGACATCTCGTGCTGCTGGGGAACAATGATCCATGCTTCAACCCAGGTATCAAACAATTATCGACCATTAATCCAAAACGAAGATAGAACATAAAGATGAAATACGAGGGAGTTTGATCGAGAGAACAGAGGACTGAAATCTTAGAGAGGCATCAATGATCAACGGGGAACTCCGATGGTGGTATTGGTGGCGATAGTGATGGCGATGGTGGTGGTGCTGTGGCGGCAATAACGACTGCGACAACAGCTTGCGAGACAGGTGGAAAACCGATAGAGTCACATGAGGACAGTTTGCACGTGTATGGAATTCGTTGCGAGTAAACTCAGAAATGTGGGTGCGGAAGACAGAGTGGCAGGGACGGGGAGAGGAAAGGCAATCATGTCACCAGTCGCTCGACAATTACGCTCAGCTTGGTAGCGGGTTGGTGTTTACAAATGGAGATTAGAATACACAATAAGGTGGTGAAAGACGCCAATAAATTGGAGGAAATCATTGAGCAACGAACAGAATGACAGTGCGGGATGCCGAGCGAATGAAGCGCATATTCACATACACACAGACATACACACGCAAACGGAAGCATGAGCACAGCAAGAGCAAGTCTCTTCCCGTGGTGCGGAAGATGAAAGTGGGAAAGAAACTGAAAGCTTGATTCGGATTTGTGTGTGTTTGTGTGTGTGAGGCAATGGGTTGGGAATAGAGGATACGACTAGACACGTGTTATTCAGTCATTGACTCATTCATCTAGCGGCTTTCAAGATGGACTACCTTCAGTATCGGGGATGCCGTCATTGTCATCATCCTCATCCAGTAAATCAATTGTACCGTCTCCATCCGTATCGTGCAATTCCAAATGGTCCGGTACACCATTGCGGTTTCTGTCTACCACTACAAAGCGGAAAGAATGCAGAATGATACGTGAAGAGTTTAGCGTTCTTGAGCTAAAAATCAAACTAGCTACCAAAAGAGTATCCCTCATAATGGAAATCAACTCCGCTTTAATATTTTGTCCGTCCAAGAAGATAAAAGATACCTTGGCCAAGATGTGATAAATAGTGTGTACTCAATTGGTATATGAATGTTTTATTCGTTTAACGGCAGGCGCATCAGCTGATAAAACAGATCCACTTCTTCATGACACGCATAAGATCAATGTTTTCACACAGCGAAAATGAAATATAGCCATATTCCATTCAGAGGGGATAGTTATCGCTGCGAAAATTAGTTGTACTCAGATAAATTCTAATGTTTTCTTGTCGGCTCCAAGTACACCAATTCTGTCAATTGCACAAATGATGGAAATACATAAACGCAAGCACAATCATTTGGGAAGATTCATTGACCGTCTAATACATCACAATTTTGATGCTAAAAACAAATCGGTGTATGATGTTGCCCTTAATTCTGGGGCACAGAATCGGTTAACCACTGTCTGTATCACAGTCAGTTCACGGAAGCCCCGCCCTGACATGACCACACACACAAAAACACACACATATTGTCTACTTTTCAAAAAACGGAACTACTTGGATCCCG